GGCAACCTTTTAGCTAATACCCTCATGAAAATCTTATGATCTATGTTCGTCAAGGTTATCGGGCGATAATTCTTGACGAAGCTGAGTTTTCAAGGGGTCCTCACTTTTTGGCATAAATACGGTGTGTGTGGACAAAAACGAGGGAGGTACGACTTTTCTAGTGTACGCCTCACTGAACACATGTGGCGATAGCCACTGAGAAAAGAAGATCGCGTGCAAGTAAAAAAAGGGAGATCAGTTCGATTTTGGAATGCGTCAGACGTAGTCGCTTTTCGTCTGTCTTTCTCTACATTGGTGACCCGGACGTCCCAGCATGGAACGTCAAGACGTTCCCCGAGCTGATGCTGGGCTTCCTGCAACCTCCGCTGCGACCGTAGGCGCCTACGCTGTTCGCCTGCCTCCATTCTGGGCACAGCACCCAGAAGTCTGGTTTCTTCAAGTCGAGGGAAGCTTCCGACTGGCCAACATAATATCCCAAGAGGTACGGTTCAGCCATGTCCAGGCTTCGCTGCCGTGCGCAGTGGCGCTGGAGGTCTACGACATCCTCGCACGACCACCTGCGACGAACCCGTACGATGCGCTAAAGACTGCCATTTTAGAACGCACAATGCTTTTGGAACGCAAACGCCTGCAGCAGTTAGTCTCAGCAGAAGCACTGGGCGACCGTCGCCCATCGCAACTTCTGCGCCAGATGCAGGCGCTTCTCGGCGACCGTGCCGCGACGTTTGACAGCCAGTTCTTGAAAGAGCTGTTCTTGCAGCGACTCCCACCGTCGGTGCAAATGATCCTGGTGACTGCATCCGACTTGTCCTTGCCTGCCTTGGCTCTCCACGCCGATAAGATCATGGAGGTTGCCAGCCAACACCCGTCAACATCTACCGTCTCATCAGTAAAGCGCCCCGAGCCCGCCACTCCAGCGACTCGCGCACCCGTAGCGGCCGCGGTTACTCGGGATGAAATCGCAGCACTGCGAGAAGACGTGCAACAACTACAGGAGCTTGTCACAAGCACATTGCGCCTTTCACGACCTCGCAGCCCTAGGCGATCCTCACAGACCAGAAGCTCCCGCCGTCGTTCTCCCTCGCCACAGGCGAACCACCATGCCAAGGCATAACCAACAGCGGCAAGAGCAACAGCACTGCTGATATCACCAGCGCTTTGGAGCTGCTGCGGAACGCTGCACCAGGCCTTGCAGCTGGTAGGAAAACAAGACGCGGGATCGCTAGTGGCGACGAGCGCTCCCCCAAATAAGCAAGGTCGCCTGTTCTACATTACGGACGCTACCAGTGGACTGAAGTTCCTGGTCGACACAGGAGCTGAAGTGAGTGTGCTACCCGCAAATTCTTTTGACCGTGCGCTTACTCCTATCTGCCACCTGCAAGCGGTCAACAGCTCCAACATCCCCGTCTACAGGAAGAGGTCAATCTTGATCAACCTTGGCTTGCGAAGGACGTTTCGTTGGATCTTTCTTGTAGCCAAGGTCAGTCACGTTATTCTAGGAGCGGATGTCTTGTCCCACTTCTCTCTCCTAGTAGACAGGGCCCAAAAGAAAATTCATGACTCAACCACAGGCAAATGGTTTGGTTGAGCGGTTCCATCGCCATCTCAAGGCCTCCCTCATGGCCCGCGCCACACCAGATAAATGGGCCACGTCTCTACCCATCGTCCTCCTAGGGTTACGCGCAGCCATAAAGGAAGACCTCGGATGTGCCGCATCACATCTAGTTTATGGAACATCGCTGCGCCTCCCAGCTGAATTGGTCAGCCCTACCACTCCGATGCACGGCGGCCCCACGATGACTGCAGGATTGCCTTACGTGGAGGACTTAGCCCGTCTGTTCGGTGACGTGCGCGCCACACCGACGCGGACACGCCAGAGCAAGCCTCCTTTCTTCCATCGCGACCTGCACAACAGTGGCTACGTGTTTTTGCGCGTCGGCAGCAGGGGCGGATCCAGAACCCGGTTTTGGGGGGGGGGGGGGGGGGGGGGGGGGGCGGCGGAAAATTTGTAAGGGTACTATTCTCCCACTCTTTCGTGTGCACCGGGGGGTCCCCCCATGTCAAATTGCCCTCCGAGAAGGGGGGAGGGTCGACCTTGTTTGAGGGGGGGGGGGGGGGGGGCGGCCGCCCCCGTCGCCCCCCCCCCCCCCCCCCCTTGGATCCGCCACTGGTCGACAGCGTCCGCCGTTCGCTCCAGCAACCTTAAAGCGCGATCCAAACCAACGCTTCTTTTTGCGCCTGTAGGTCGTGCGGCTGCGGATGTGACGCATTCCGCGTCGTTTTTGCTGTTTCCGGGCGCGCTTTCTGAGTCAGAAGCGTGCGCTTTGGTTTGGACGGGCCAGCTACGGGCGGGGGCGCACGCGCGCACGCAGGCACGAGCGCACAAGCAAAGTGCAACAGCGACAGACTGGCCGGCGAGAGAAAGAGAGAGGGAGAGAGATCGCGTTGTCATGTTGGAAGAGAATAAAAGGGGGGGGGGGGGAGGAGAGGGCAGCCAGACGGCGAGAAACGCGGAGCCGGAACTAGCTTGCCCTCCACCGATTGGCCGGGACACAGGCGCGGCCTGCTACGTCACCGCGCTTTTTTGTGCGGCTTGAGAAAGAAGTTGAAATCAACCAACTTCTTCGTGCGCGCCCGGAAGGAGCGAAGAAGCGGCGCGACGTCACGAAAATGCGTCACATCCGCAGCCGCACGACCTACAGGCGCAAAAAGAAGCGTTGGTTTGGATCGCGCTTAAGCGCGATCCAAACCAACGCTTCTTTTTGCGCCTGTAGGTCGTGCGGCTGCGGATGTGACGCATTTCCTGACGTTTTTGCTGTTTCCGGGGTTCGCTTTCTGAGTCAGAACCGTGAGCTTTGGTTTGGACGGGCCAGCTTCGGGCGAGCGCGCACGCGTGCAACAGACTGGCCGGCCAGGCCAGTCTGTCGCAGCCAGAAGGCGGCGAGAGAGAGAGAGATCGCGTTGTTATGTTGGAAGAGAATAAAAGTCGGGGGAGGAGAGGGCCAATTGTGGATGCGCACCGGGCGCTTTTGTCCCTTGCTCTGAGAAGGCGGCGAAGAAACGCGGAGCCGGAACTAGCTTGCCCTCGACCGATTGGCCGGGACACAGGAGCGCCCTACTACGTCACTGCGCGTTTTTGTGCGCGTTGAGAAAGAAGTTGAAATTATCCAACTTTTTTGTGCGCGCCCGGAAGGAGCGAAGAAGTGGCGCGACGTCACGAAAATACGTCACATCCGCAGCCGCACGACCTACAGGCGCAAAAAGAAGCGTTGGTTTGGATCGCGCTTTACACTGGTCCCCACCTCGTCGTGGCACGTGGCGAAAAAACATTCACGCTGCGAGTTAATGGCCGCGACACGGTCGTGTCCGTTGACCGCCTCAAGCCAGCATTTGTTGAGAGCGATACGATCGCTCAGCCGACTGATCTTCCCAGCGTGCAAGCCACCTCGAGCTCAACAGTAGCACCCGTGACCCGCATCAAACGCTCCAGGACATTTCACTGGGACGACTCCGTCTCCAAAGGGGGGCTATGTGGCGGTAGCCACTGAGAAAAGAAGAAGATCGCGTGCAAGTAAAAAAAGGGAGATCAGTTCGATTTTGGAATGCGTCAGACGTAGTCGCTTTACGTCTGTCTTTCTCTACACACACAATGCGAAAATGGGGCAAGCTGATCTATCAACGATTTAAAAAATTTTGCACCTAACAACCCATCGGAAGTTTTTGGGTTTCAAATTGTCAATGGCCTTCTTTATTTCCCACAGTATTATGGGCTCCTCTAATTTTTCTCTTACATTCTCTGCCAGCTTCGGCATTAACGGCAAATAAATGCTTCGAAAATCTAAACCCCTTTTTTGGGCACGCAATAACTGAAAAGATTGTTGTAGTTATCCAGGAAAGCTCAACAGATGCTGTTTATGACTTGTCAGAACCCCATGGGGCAGGACAATAATGAAGGGACAATGAGTTCTAGCATTGTTTGGAACAAGCTATACCAACAAGATGCTTATTAAAGGGGGGGGGGGGGGGGGGGGGGAGGTGCAACGATTTCCGGACTTCGGTCAAACATTTGTGGAAGTTGCCCTCTGACACTTCTGAAGAACAGAAAGCCGAGTTCGCCTGCGTGTCCCAATTGTAAAAAAAAAAAAAAAAATTGGCATTTTTGGCGCCCTTTCACTCCCAGTCTTCAAGGTCACACCTGGTCCCCCCTCCTAGTGACGTCATTTGGGGTGCCGTGTAGCTTCTCGTGTGCTCCCTCGGAGGACGCTTTCTCTCTGCTGACATTAGCGGGCATTATGCTACAGCCTAGAGCCGAGCGAGGTCACGCAAGCTCTTCGCCGTAGTTCCTTCGGCTGCCACTTGGCGGCTGCAGGTGGGGGAAAAAGCTCCACTTTTGGTTTCCGATCATGCAGCGGAATCGCAACATTTTTTAATGAAGATGTTTTCTGCATCCTCCGGGACACGATAAGCAACGTAAAAATGACGATATACAAATTCTTTTAATCTTAAAATCATTGCATAACCCCCTCTAAACGTTAGACTATAATTTTATTTCTAATTTCTACTTTTTTGCTGTATTTTTAGAATGAATCATCCAAATAATAATTCCAATGATCAAGCTTATACACTTAAAAAGTATAAAGCTAGCTTTTTTATTTAGCACCTCCCATTTCTACCCCAATCCCACCATGCCAACACCTTAATAATAACATGGAGACCTGACATGATGTGAAAACACCTCTTACAAGTTTAAGGTCATTGGCTTCAGAAGTCTGCTCACCCCCAGTTCAAGGAAAACCTCTTTATCACTAACAACCGGGACACTTCCTTCCAGTCAGCCATGACACGACACATTAAACACAATACGAAGGCAATATTTTTTTTTTTTTTTTTTTGCCGAGGTTTATCTTATGTATGGGGTAAAGTTGCACAATCTAAATGTGCCTAAAACATGGAACTGTTCAGGTCTTGCCTCTGAGTAAAAGGCCTGTTCTCTTCTGCAGAGGTACGAAATGTGTCTCATGGGGTACAAGTTCCACGTGCTGGACAACGCCTTCCTGGTGCATGCTCCAGGAATCAAGCAGAGAGGTGAAAGCGGATGGCGGCATCACTACATTTCAATCAATTATAAGCAGCACAACAATCTTCGACGAGCACTCAGGTTCAAATATCCGGATATGGAGAAAAAATGCTGAACAATCCTCCAAAGTCCATCGCATCATCATCAAAAACGGCCCACGCAATTCCTTGCAAAGCCCAATTTTTTGCTACATTGTGGGTGAAGTTTTATCAGCTTGCTTTTTTTTTTTAACAAAGCAGCTATAATAAAGGTTTGCAGCCCCTAATTATACATGGCTGAGGTGGGAGTGCTTTGCTTCCCCAAAATGAGAACAGAAATGTGGTTGGGCTAGTTTGTAGACATACCTCAAAATATAAATTGCAAAATGAACAAGACAAAGAAATATACAGAACCATGGAGCTAGCCCTGCATATTTTCTTCTAAATTCTCTACAAACACCACATTTGCGAAAGGGTCTATCTGGCGGCCGTTTGTTTTTGCCTCGGAATACGAGCCTAAAGCATCACTGCAGAGCTCTGCAAAAACACAAATACACCTGTAGAAGATGGCCATTCTGTAGAACAGGTCCAACGTGCCCTCCCGTTATATACGAGGGTCTACCTTCAGCAGTACAACGACCCAGGAAAGCAGGAGGCCTAAGTAGAGATGCAGTTCTATTGATCAGTTAACAAAAGAAAACTGGCAAAGAAAAACCCGACTATGCAAAGTAAAAAGAAAATTTATTTAAAAACGGGGTATTACATAGAAAGCACTTTCTTCCAAGTAGCACGGCAAACGCACACCGATAACGAGTCCATGCAAAGCCACCTCACTCAATCCTTGCCACATATATCTGAGCCACATATTATGCATATTCTGATATAAACATCTCTGCATGTCAAAATATCACCATTACACAAGGCAAACACACATAACTTAAGAATGTAAAACCCAAAAGGCTTTAAATACAATTGGTTATCCACATCAATCCCACTCTAGTGTACAGCCAGCAAGAAAATTCAAGCAAGCACTACTCACGCTGCAATCCAAATGCTTGAAGCACGAAGGCACACTTTGTAAAGGCGGATTCCTTCCCAGTCATTGATTTCAAACTATGCAAGTTCACCAAAAGCAGTAATTATTGTGGTAGCTTGAACCACCTGCAATAAGGGATTACGAACAAAATACACAAACAAATAAACAGGAGTGCAGCAGTGAAGTAAACTATAAAATAAATTTTACATACTACGGTAGTTATGATTCAAGGGAGAAAAAACTTCTTTGCCCTCCACTTCCCCCTTTTTCTTATATGCATCGCATTGCAATGGTTGGTAATGTGAAATAATTTAGGTAAATTATTTAATTCTACACTAGGTGATATTTTCATACTGTCGCATCTGCACTGAAGATGCGAGCTTAAAGGGCTACTCCACCGATTTTTTCATTGTCTCCGATTTGATTAAAATTTTGCTAAACTAACCAACAAACATCGCGAAAATAGTATCCCAAATATTAGGTCAAAATATTGTTTTTTCGCGAAGTTATTGAATTTACAGTTTTGGTCCTCACCGTGTTTTTCAAGATCGAAGTCTCTACTGGCAACAATGAAAAAGTGACGTCAGTGGAAGGCAGGGGTTCACTCTTTGGGCTGTAGATTTTGTTTTAAACTGATTCGAAGCAGTTTCATGGTGTCAAAAGAATGCTTGGGAAGCTCGCTGCAGTACCCGCGCTCCAGCACGGAACAAATGATTGGCATATTCTATTTTTTGGCTGCTTGCTGGACTGACAAGCCTGCCTGCCACTGACGTCACGGCCCTGAAAAGCGCGGGTATATTTGAATGTTGGTTTTTGCATCATTTTCATTTGCCGATTTCGCAATAACTATTATGAATTTCGCGATTCTAAATAGCATACCGGAGAGAGTAAAGGCCGGAGAGTCAGAAAATATAGTTAGTTGAGGTAGCTCAAAAAATCGGTGGAGTACCCCTTTAAGGTGCTGTGTAGAAGCTAACCATCCATATAAAATGTTGTGTCCCATCATGAAGTTTGTTGCATGAAACGGACTCGTTTTATATACGCTCTTTGTACATATACACTAAGACTAATCCAAGAAATTACTTTCAAGTATTGTCTATTAAAGATTGAACGCTTGCAAAAATGCTTCCACAATTAAACAATTCTATCACTCTTTATTTTTTCCTGGGGAGGAAAAGGGGGGGGGGCAAACACAAAAATAAGTATGATTTATTTCACATACTATTAGGATTTATTGAAAATTAAACAGCTGCTATAACTGTACGATAGAGGTGTCACAATACGCAGAAGTGACCTTTCAAGATGCCCCCTGCTGTTTCTTTTCAGAACTTTAAAATGCAGTTGCAAACAGTGTCCATTCCCTGAACCAGGAACGGACCTGTCATACGGTCCTAATGCATGACTGCAAGCAGGGTACATGGCTGCTGCCATTTCTCTGCTTGTGAAGGCAAGTACGTCGTACCAGCTTGCCAGTAGAAGTCACTCTCAAGCACATGCTGCATATGCTTGCTTGTACAGATGGAGTATCAGGAAAGATGCAATTTTTGCAGCTGTGTGTACAAGAAAGACTTCAATTGGTCCAGAGCAAATGCTTTTCCATCTTGAGATCATTCCAATTCATCAGATAAACAAGCCAATTTCTGAAAGGTTGCCTGTCATGAAAATATGCAAATTTTTCTACCTATTATTGCTTTTGAACTGAAGAGTGAATATCCCTGATTGTGGTGGGAAGGTCAAGGCACTTTAAATTTTCACTTTCTTAGAGCAGTTCCATGAACAGTACATACCATAGAATACCGCATATCCACCCATTTCACGTAAGCGCGCATTTCGAAATTGGCAAGATCTGAGAAAATACGCACAGCGCATTTACATGCAAAACTGATGACCGGACAAGCACCCATCTCCCATTCTTTTGCGATTATCTCCAAACTTTTAGTGGGTGTTTGCCCAGTATTTTACAGTAGTTATAAAAACGTAACAATCTGAGTTCCACACCTGCTGTTCTTTGGTGTGTACAGTTAAGATGCTGAGCCTACACCATGAAGTCCAAGGCCCGGGCCAACCTGAAAGCTGGGGCCCGGCCCAGCCCGAGGCACCTCTAGCCGGGCCGGGCTCAGGCCAGGCTTGTGCAGCGCTCTAACGCAGCCACACAAATCAGCAATGCAGCAGCCTCGAAACACAAAATATGCTCTTCTTAAGATTTCCAAAAACCCATTTTGCAATCGAGTACTTTCAGAAACCACACACGCATGTAATAACCTGAACAAAAACCAAAAAAAAGAGCCTTGTAGACAGAGCCATAAGATTTTTAAAGGGCCCCTGAAAAGAAAAAAAAAGTTTTTTTTGAACAGTCTGGTTGGAACACGCGTGTCAAAAAATGAATTTTACGCGAAAAAAAAATTTTTTAGAGCAATATTGACGGCGAGAGATTTATTTGAAGTTTTGCGCGCAAATTCCATGGTCATTCAGCTCGGCTTCTCATTGGTAGCGATGGTCATTCAACTCAGCTTCTCATTGGCCAGTAGAATGAGTGACAGCTTAGATGTTGGTTTTAAAATCTTCGTGATTTTTTAAAATCGCCTTTTGAATTACATATTTTTAGGTTTAAGAAACAATCCATCGAATGAATGTCGCAATTGTTTACAAACGTTTTACAAAATCGTAACTTCCGTTCGGATACCACAACAAAACAACAAACAAAAGCTTCGCCATTTTGTTTTCTGTCGTGGTCGCCGTCTTCGCGTTCTGAAGAGGGCTTGTTGCTTGTGTTAGTTAGTCAGTCATAGTAAGTACTTAGGAAGTGGCGCGGGGTGACAGGTTTCTGTTTTTCTGCTCTTCTTTGCGCGATTCGTGTGTCCCGTTTACCTCATCTTTTGTTTGTTTTCTGGCGCGCGCCAGTGCCAATGTTTGTTTAGATGTCGGTTCCCGTGGTTCCCGTAAAGAGTTTAGTGAGGCACGCGGCCCCGCACTCAACGTTTAATAGAAAAAAAAATCAGTTACCACTGCGTGTCCTCGCGGCGGCTTGAAGGATCGTGCGGCTCGAACAAACTCGTCGAGGCACCCGCTTCGCCGCGGCGAAGCGGGTGCCTCGCGGCGATCGGAGCGGACGCCTTCCGGCTGGCGAGGCGTGTCCTCGTACGGACGAAGGCCCAGCTGCTGGCAGCGTTGAAGCAACCGACGCTTCAGGTCGAGGTCCACCACGACGACTATGTACTGTGTGTACGACCACGGTGACCACGGTACGTGCACGATACGACGCGGTATGTCGTTCGACCGGCAGACAGCCGGCCAGGGGCTGTGTTCCAAATCTCCAAATGGATCCGAGTTTCTCCGGCGGATCGTATCACGTGACAGCACAGATTGAAAAACGCTGTACGCGGGTAGGTTTTAGAACGCCAAGAGTACAAAACCCTCACCCTGGGGTAAGATCGAGTCAATTTTGGAACACGGCCAGGAAGTAGCAATGGCTCTCGTGCGGGGCGCAGCCAAGCCAGGAAAGCAGCCAAGCCGATCCGCTACGAAGAGGCGGGGACTACCTCTCCTCCACGCGCCCGAGATGCCGAGAGAGAGAAAAGTGGAAAGGAGGTGACTGCCGACTAAATTGCGTCTGGCGCAGTCAATATTGCTCTAAAAATTTTTTTTTTTTCGCGTAAAATTCATTTTTCGACACGCGTGTCTCAACCAGACTGTTTTTGAAAAACTTTTTTCTTCTTTTCAGGGGCCCTTTAATGATACAAAGATTCTGCTTGCACAGGAAGAGGCAAAAACCAAATTGATCTTTTATACGGCAGTGTGGCAAGTCTTCTAGCCCAACTTTAAGTGCAGCTCAAGTGATTCAAACTCTCAAGGTTTGTTCACAACCAACCCATGAAATATGAGCACAGCAGACAAAGATAAAAATTCAAGACTTGCTCATACTTCTTTTTTGCAGAAGAGAGCAATATTGAATGTGAACTAGGTCGAGCAAATCATCCCACAATTACAGCAATTGTGTACAGAACAAAGCTATTCAGAACGACAAAATCTGCTGACGGCAGTCTCACTTAAGCTATTCTGAGAGCTTGTGTTTTTCCTCCTCATCTTTATCTAGTGAGGAAAAAGTCGACGTTGCATAAAAAAATAATTTGGACGTTCACTCAGAAGTACATGTCCCCGTATACCACGCCCGTATGCACAGTATGCAAACACACTTCGCCCGGAAGGGGGATTGGTGCAAGCTGGCGTCTTACCGAAGCAGGTTAGCACTGAGCTAAAGTTTACTGCCTGACGACATTTTTTCAACAGGGTTCAGAAAACAATGCAGGAGACTGGCAACTGAGCATATGGGCTAACTGTGTCACGAACTGTAGCTGGCCCTCAGTGATCGTCATCTTTCCCCAATCATCCGAGATTTTACGTGACGTCACGCGAGAAATCCGCCACCTTCCCGATTGATCGGCCCACGCATCACAGCAGAGCCTGGATTCGTTTGTCGACGCTTCCTTTCCTCCTCGTCGAGGCGAAACGGTGGCAAAGCTTACGCGTAACCCCGCCATGCAGAGAGATCTGGTTCTCTAGGGGTCAGGGACCTTGCAGGTGTCCGAAGTGGGCTGGCAACCTGGATACTCCTTCAGCTGAGGGTGGTCTAGGTCGCCCCGGTTGTTGTGCTTGGCTCCCACCGCGGCATCCGAGGGGGGCCCCGTGGTGCGCACGCACACGCAGCGCTTCACTTGAGTCTCGGGTTCGAAGAACTGCCTCGGCACGCCGGCCCAACTGCGTTGGATGCCGCCGCTGCAAGGACAAGGTCATCGAGACTCACTGCCAGGAATGGTGGAAGACGAACAAAGTATAACGACATTTTTAAGGGCCCAATTATGATAATAATTCTCTGTGCTTTTCTTGTCAAGCGAAGAAAAGATTGTTGCAGGAAGCACTGCCGAGCATTTCAAGCCCGCAGTTATATCTCTCTTATCGAATGAAATATAAACAATATATGCGCCAGTCCTAGGGGAGCGATTTTGTAAGCAAAGAAAAAAACTGCCCTTTGGAGTAGGTGGGAAGCACATGAAGCTTCCTTCTGGTCAAGTGGAAGTAAGAACACCCTTTACTGCATCTTTAAAGGTGCAACAAATTACCTTTCACTTCACCTCTTTAGGACCCAAATTTGAGATTTGTGCTTCATAAGGTCGAAACATGAATAATCCAAATACGTGTTCTGCTTCTATAAAAAAAAAAATGTGCCACAAATGGTTCATACGTTTCGACATTTCCACCTTGAGAAGCACGATGCCAAACACCTTCAGTTGATCAGAAGTGTGTCCTGGAACCAACCATGCTTTCTCATTGTGAACGGAAGAGTTTCTGTTTACCCTAAAATAGCGGGCAAGTGCCTACTCAAAATTTAGAGATAATCGTGAAAAAATGGGGGATGGGCACATGTCCAGTCCCCAATTTTACATATACGGTAAATGTACTGTGCATATTTTCTCAATCTTAAAAATGTGGGCATTGGCACTTTTGTGGGATGGGCAGATACACAGTATTTTATGGTAGTACTGGTTCAGAGAAGCAGCAATATGATTGGTCAGAGTCATTTCGGAGCAGCTCTTGGAGGAGCCAAAAGTCAATTTTGGAGCAGCAAAAATAATTTTTGTAGCATAAGCACATATTCATTTTAATTCATACCAATGCAAATATTATGTTAAGATTAATGTGTTGGCCTGTCCAAGTAAAAGGCATCAACATTGCCTTCTCACTAACGTGCAACCCTTTCTTAGCATCAACTGCACAGCAGGAGCGAGTCCCTCAAACACAAAACTAGAGTTTATTTAGTTGCAAGGAGAAGCACCACACAGGGTGACAAGAAAGAGCGATGAAGGACAGCATGAACTGCTGTTAATGGTTATTTTAGGTACTGAATCCCATTAAAATAATACAATATTGAGCACATAAATCAGGCTGTCTAGCAAATTATTATTTTGAAATTCCTGAGTTTTTGAGACTTTCCCTGACAATTTCAGGTGAAATTCCCTGACCACTGTAGAGGTGGTTAAATATATAAGACCATTACAACACAAGGCAATGAGCATTGAGCACTGCGAAGATCATTCTGCACGGGCTTAATCAAACTTGCATATTCCGAATTATTTGGATTCGTCCAGTACGGATTAAACGAGCACTTTCTCGCCGCCGACATCGTCAGTGAAGAGGCCACTTCCGGAAACACTATGAAAACACGACGCCCAACTACACACGTCAATAACCGAATGGCAACATGGCCACACGGCCGCCAGATACACACTCTTGGATACTTTTGGCTTAAAGGGGTAGGGAAACGAAATTTCGACGCTCATTTTCTAGCTTTAATGTGTTGCCTGTTGCACCCTAACCTCAAAAACACCAGTCTTTCGTTGAAAAGCACAAGAAAACTAATTCTAAAGCTAAATAAACGATCTTCAATGTGCACCTGGTGGATGCATGCGGAGCCTATTTGGGAGGTAGTCTAGCAACGTTGTGGAATCCGCTACGTAGCTGTGACGTAGCAGATTCCTTCGGAGCAGCGCCGCTCTTTGGCATTTCAACGTTTTCCTTCTTAGCTTTCCTCCTGAACTCACAAATCGCGCATTGTACCAAGCGGTCCAAGAAGACGGAACGGAAGGACTCCCCTCTTTCTCGCACCCTCGTTTGTGCAACCGGGAAACAGCAGTTCTCCCCCTAGAAGATTTTCCCGTCGCTCAAAACTCGAACAAAAGTTGCTTTCCCCACCTCGTTCAGCACTAAGCTGGCAGTGTTGTGGAAGCTACGTGCTCCTTGGGCCAGCCACACGCTCGTCACCCCATGGGTACTTCGAACGGCTCGGTTGTAACGCACTGACGCTATTGACACCACCGCAACGCTGACAACGCCACCAAGGGCAAAGCTCATAATCACGCCAGCCTTGCTACGTCACGAACGTGGGGTATCTTTTCTTTCTGTTTTTGTTTGCGCCAGCTATCCCATGACGCATGGCGCTCTCCGTTCGTTTCTCTTCGAGCGCTTGCTCGAGTGCACTGTTTGGAACGAAAAATATAGCGAATCGTTCAAAATACAAACGTGCGATTATAATTTACAGTTATTATCCGTCATGCTTGACTCATTTCCGAACGAAATCTGAATATTTCAATTTTTGTTTCCGTACCCCTTTAAGGCTTGGATTGGATTGGGGTCAGCGGCTTTCTCGTTTGTTACTAAATCTAATAGCTCTACCTGGATCTAGCCCTTAGAGTCACACTCTCAATCCAATCCAATCCAAGGCTTGGACTGGATTTGTCGGCTGTTCTCTTTGCATCGGGTAGCACTCTACATTGGGTGAGCAGAACCCAGGCTCTGCTCTGAGCAGAATTCGTTGCCTATTTTTCTGCCCTGTAGTCCTTAAGTCTTTGCTCAGGGCACTCAATGGCATTTCTGGCTCCCTTTTTCCGACTGGGCTCACTTTTTGACAATATCCCTGACAATTCCCTGATTTTTCCTGGTAATTAAAATTTCCCTGACAATTCCCGGTTTTCCCGGTCGCTAGACACCCTGATAAATTCATGTTTCCTTTAAGTTGTAGACGTTGCAATAAAACTGCATTTTATAATCCAGATAAAAAAAACAAAGCACTAGTCGTTTGATTAAGAATGTCATTTACATATTATCTGTAGAACTTCATAACAAAAACGGCATGTGAACGAAACTTAAAAAATGTCCCCCCGAACTCGTTAAGGTTCTTCCCAAGCTTTCATCCACTGCTTCTGCGAATTTAGACCTAATTTACTCACATCCATATAAAATTGATAGCTAAGCAAATGAGTTGTTATAAATCAATAAACATACAAAAGAGTGCATATATATGTTCTTGCAACACCGAAGCATCCTTGCTAAAACCTTGAATTGTAAGAAGGTACCGCCAGGATATCGTTCTATCATATATAAGAACCGAAGTTGCATTCGGGAATTATGTCGCGTTCCGCTCTAGAGGAGTGCTATACCATTAGCATGGGATGCGCTGCGGTGAAGCAAGACACGCAAAATCGCGATGCCTACTCCGCAGTACACCAGAGCGCGACGAGAAGCACACTCAAAGACTAACTAACCCTCTAGCAGAACAGACGACGAACATGAGAACTATTGCGAAACTTCCGAGTACTGTCAGTCTTTCATATGAAATGTGATTGAATAGTATGTTATTTGAGACGATAATCAAAAGTTCTGAAAACTTGCATAAGCATATCGTAACGGTCTGGCTGGGCAGCAAGGCCCGAGCTATTATATTTTCAGTATTATTTTAACTGAAATTACGTTTTGGCGCAATGTTGGTGCAAATTCCTCCGATTTTGGTAAAATGTAGCAGCATGTAACAGGGCAAGCGCTTTGGCACAGTTTAGCGCAGCAACCACATCAGTAGAGAAGGAGTTGATGTCATGTCAAGGAAAGGGTTAGTGTCCCCTCTGGCATCATAATCCTTTCCTTTACAGCTTTTTACCCTTCTTAATGTGTACCTAGTAATAGTCAAGTAAAAACAAGTCAAAATGTGCTTTTATTTTTAAACAAGTTTTTAAAAGCCCATTCACACCAAGTACGACTGAGAGAGACAAGAGCTGTTAAAACTTCTTGAAATTTCTTAGGATGACAAAACACACTGGCGCCATCTATGCGGTGACCCTGGAACTGCAATTCACAAGAGCGAAGGTTTTGCAGGATTTGCAAAGTCAAATGTGCGTAAAACCTATAAAAAGGGTCGTTTATAACGTTGACAAAAGTTTTCCGAGCCAAGAAAGAAAGGATAATGCGCGAGAGAAATAGAAGATATGCCGGACTGCCAAGTTTACACTGCTACCCTATAGGTGGTGCCAGTGTGTCCTCTTGTTGTAAGAGGTTTCAAGGAACCCAGTTCTAATTCATAAAATATTTAGTCAGGTAGAGGTTCTAAAGTTTTCAAAGAAAACTGTAAAAAGAAAACATTGGTAATAAAGGGTTAGTTAGCAATCAAATGTTGGTCCAGCATTTTACATCGATCAAAGGAACTTGGAAAATCTTGAATTATGCTTTATAGTATATTGAAACAATACATACATTAGGTTAATTTATGGTGTTTCACGCTTCACTAAGCACATTGATCCAAGTCAGAACCTGAGAAATTATAAAACTAAAACCCCTTTTGAAGACTAAAAAAACAATGAGCACAAGTAATTCTATTCAGTTTTTCTTCTCTGTTGAAATGCAAGAACAGGGTATCTACCAAATTACTTCCGAATTTCCTGACATTCCCAGCTTTTCACCAACTCGGTGATGTGATTGGCCATAGTCATTTTGGAGCAGCCAAAAGTTTGGAGAAGCAAAAAGAGCTTTTGGAGCATAACCGCACACTTCATTTTCATTTATATCATTGCAAATTTGAGGAGAGATGGCAAATGTTAGGAGAACAAACACCAGCTGTTTAGTTGCTTGTGGAAGCACCAGACACGGTAACATGAAGACGACTGATGAAGAACAGCGCAAACTGCCGTGAATGGTTCTTTTAGGTATGAAATCCCACTGAAGAAATGTTAAAATACAGTCATTTTGAGCACCTAGATTTATGTGTCCTTCAAGTTTTAAGGAGCTCTGTAACAAAACTGCAGTTCTTAATTCAGACAAAAAACAAAGCATAAAAAATAAACCTATAAGAGTCCATATTGCGGGAACCATGGGGTTCCCTATATCCCTATTTAGGTCTAGCTTCGAGCAGGCCGTGGGAGTCGTCGTCACCAGTGGCGTCGGCCTCCCGGATA